GGTTGGGATTCCTACACCAACTCTCCTCTGTCTCTGCTCAGTCTCTAAACCAGGTTCTTTTCAGTAGGCACCCTAGCTAAGCCTAGCTTGGACCTCCATGTCTATAAAGCCTCCTCCAATTTCTTTTCTGTCTAAGAAAAAAGAGAGAGAGGCGTCTACTGTCTTCAAAGTACACAATTTAATAAGCCACTGTATACATAAAAAACTCACAATAGTAAGTAAATAAGCCCATGAATAACTGCCATAGGGGCCACTGTGGGTGGTAGAAGGGTCCCAGAATGCTGTCGCCAGGACCTGAAGTGTCTGTGACCAGCGTGGCAGATGTGATGTCACCAAGGGGAGAGGTCGGCAACCAAGGAAGAGAAAGGCTATGCGCTTGGAACTAGCTGCTTCTTCTACAGGCCTGCACTGTATTCTCTTGGCTGACCTGTACAACTGCTGGCTGTCATGCACATCTCCTGGCTTTTTACTGAGCACTCTTTAGCAGTATGGCATGCCCCCTGCTGTCTTGCACAAGTGCTGGCTGCACTGCACTTGCTGGTGAGATAAACCACCCTACAGTCACTTTTCCTCTGTATGGCAGGGCTGGTTGAGCTTCTTGCACCAACTCTCTTCTGGCTCTGCTCAGTCTCTAAACCAGTAGGCCCCCCAGTTAAGCTTAGCTTGGACCTCGATGTCTTCAAAGGTTCCTCTGACTTCTTTTTTATCCCTCTCTCTTTCTGCCCCAGGGGAAGAGACCCCTGGACAGGTGTTTCCTCCAGAAAATGTATGCCCCCCCCCTCCACTTACTGAACACACCTCCACAGGGATTGGCCAGAGCTTCATAAATATTCAGACTGCCTGTTCTGCTCTCCCCTCCCAGTACACTTCCAGAAATCTCTAGAAAACAGGGGGAAGTAACAGAACAGCAGCCTGTGAGACTCTGAACAGCTCCGAGTTATCAACTCCTACTCCAACATTTACAGAGGAGCTAACTAAATTTGCCAGGCAGCCTATTGGTGTTAGTTGAAACCACTTAGAACCATTTATGTTAACTGAAAGTTGATATGAGATGTAAATCAGAAATAATTTTATTTACAAAAATGTATATTAAAAAAACAAATTGCCAACAAATTAGAATCCATGTCATACTAGCCAAACTTCAGCACTGTCAATTGTAGGTCATTGTCTATTGTAGGTCACTGAACTTAGAGGCTAACTCCCCTCTTTGGTCAATGTTACATGTTACAAATGTATTGGTAGAGGAAAATACAACCATATGGGACTTTAATTATACCTCCAATGGTATAAACACACACAAAAAATAATATAAAAGATTCAATTTTATTATAGTATGTTAGAGATATACAAGTTAAAACAAAACAATTTAAAACATCAACATATAGCAGTTTTGTAATACCAGAAGGTACATTTAACAACCAAATTATGGGTTTGTTTGTTTTTTTGCAGTTTGATATTGTGTTAATAGATGTTATTTATTAACCTATTTATTGGTGTATACATTGACAAGTATTTTGCCATATCTTTTTGGAATTGGTGTTTATTGAAATACTGTATATAGTAATTACTACTGTTGCTGACCTTTTTGAGGGTGGAATATTTCTACCATTTGCCAACCTCATCACAAATTTTCTATTTCACCAAATTATTACTGTTATATGCTTCATTACTCTCTTATGTAACACACATTCTTTCAAATATATGCCGGAAGAGGGTACGTGTCCCTACGCACCATCTGCCAATTGATGAATCTAAAATATAACCTTTATTCAAATATATAAAATATATGCTCAGCAGTAATTAATGCCTATTGGAGTGGAATGTACTGTGCACAACAATATGACTGGATATCATTGCAATTATTTACCTTACATCCAAATGGTTAATAACACAAGACCATTTTACCACCATGTGCAGCTAAGCACAACTTCCAGCCACTATGTGACCTATTTTAATTCTTTAATTTCTTTCTGATGAAGCTCTGTCTGTTTTCTGGAGAGAAACATGTAGAGTTTCTTTTTTTCTTTGGGTCTTTCTTTGGGAGCACTTTTTGAATGCACATGGTATTCACTCCTCTCCCCTCCCCTTTTTTGGAGAGGTCTGTACTGCGTTTTACAGTGCATCATTTGCATTCCTCAAAACACTGAGGTATTTTTGTCTGGAAATGGTGATGTATGGGACTTGTCCATGAGAGGCTGACATTTAACCCCGTGTACCCGTATTACATATTTGTAGCAAGATTAGTTTTAGTTTTGTCCATGGGGTAATTCCATTTCCTTAATAGAAATTATATACTCAAGCTGATAGGTTTATGATCAAACTACAGTGTCTCTTTTTATGCCGTCACTTCATCTAAAACGTGGGGTATGGTATTTGATTTGGTCTGGTGTTATTAACCATTTGGATGTAAGGTAAATAATTGCAATGGTATCCAGTCATATTGTTAATAAAAAATAAAAAATGGTACAGCGCTAGATTACATGAAAAAATAAACGTGTTGCCAAACAATACATATGAATAACATCCAACATATGAATGACAGGGACATAGATATTGCACTGTGATATGTCCCAAAAATAGAACTTGACCAGATAATAGTCCCAAACTGTGATGTGATCAAAATGAAGAGCAAACAATAATAGTGACTTCTGTGACTTCTGTGTTACTCCTCTGCCATTATGCACTCACCAGAAGCAAGTAGCAAACCAGCATTGAATGAACTGACTCTTTGAAGCAAACCTGCTCAATTCTTATCTCCAGTTAACGATCTATCCAAGGGTGGGATCCCTCCTTTATTTGATTCTGACTTTATAAAAGGAACCTTCTAAGCGTTACTTTCCAGCCATCCTCCACAGCAGATATAATCATTTCAATTTGACATATAAACATTTTAATTGGAACTGCAGCTCCTGTTACTTTTCAAAACCGTCAGAAAAAAAAATATTTTTTCCTTGCAAGATGGCAGCTTGGAGGCCCTCTGTAAACTGAACGCTTTCCGAAATCTCACTTCCTGCTTATGTGATTGGCTAGGTGTTTCTACCTGCACTGAGATAAAAAGTAAAATCTGAGGAACCCGCTGAGATGACAGTCTTTGTTGGAGGGGCTGTGGACAAGTGGGAACTTTAGCGCACATGCTTTGGTCCTGCTTACACATTCGTAGTTTCTGGAATTCAGTACACAAGTTGATTGCTGAAGCGTCATGAGTCATCAGTAAAGCTAATGCGGTTCAAGTCCTTTTAAGTGTTAAAATGAATTAGTATGTCCTCTGGCTCTGAACATTTAATGGCTGGCAGCTTGGGCAGTACATGCATGCCTTGTGTGCCTGGTACGTGTCTTGGCTGCTCACTTGGACTGGCGGATCCGGAAATATGTGCCTATATGACAGCTTCTGGTCCGGCACCGTCTTGTGCGTTCCAGGACAATATTATTTTTTGTTATACCATTAGAGGCATAATTAAATTCCCATATAGTTGTATTTTCCTCTACTCATATGTCATAAGGGATCATACCTCCAGTGGCATGAGAGGCTTAACATGCTTTCCCACATATAGTCTCAATGTTACAACTGTATTTTGAGTGTAACATGTAACATGGTGCAAATGGTCCCCATTCCCAAACTGCCCCCCACCTATGACAATGTTGGGGGTTCTTGTCCAACACAGCTGCTGTCACTTTTAAAACCGGCACAGCTGTGTTGATCTCTGTCACACAGCCGCATCATCTAGTCTTGGACATGTGTGAATGAATGACCTACAAGTCCCATCTTCTATCGCAGTAGACCAACTTTTAGTCTATTGACAGCTCAGTAACTGAAAGTGCAAACTTCATTATGGCATTAGAGCTTGAGGAGGAGGCTGCAGGAGCCCTGACATTTGATCTGTGATCCACCGATTGCAGTTCAATGCTTTTCAGGCTGATATACGAAAAAAGATAAATGTGCGTTTTTCTGCACATATAAGTGTATTTATTTATTTATTTTGTAAAAGGAGGGCTTAAAGCCCATACACACGATAAGAAAATCGTATGAAAATTTTCATACGAGGACCAATTGTCCGATAATCAGATCATTAGTATACAGCTTTTGAGAGCTGATCAGGACAATTCATGTGATAATATCCAAAGGGACAAGCGCAAAAATGTTTCTCATACGATACCAGATTGTACGATTTTTGTTTAATCAGTACAGTAGTCGTCTGAAAATACGATACAAATACATGATGTCACTTTCAAAATTCTTTTCAGTCTTATGAGAATTTTTGTAAGTTATGTAACCTCTTCATTTTCGATATGGAGATTAGCATGCAAACGAAAATGGACGATCATTCGTCTGATATTCTCATCATGTGTACTAGGCATTAGCCTTTAAAAACTAATACATAGGAAAATGTCTGGTTTTCAGAGTAAATGGTAAGCAAAACTGCCAAAATAAAAAAAAAGCTAAAGAGAAACAAAGTACAATGTGTAATTATGAACACAATTGTTCTGGTCTTGCACTAATCTTGCCAAATGATTTCCTTGAATTCCAACTGCACATTTTTTAAATGTAGTGAATTGAAATAAAAAAGACTAAATATGATACAGTCCAAAACCAAACTAAAAAGTTGAAATAGTGAACGTAACCTTTAGTAAGCTTGGAAGGGTCCAGTATGTATCTCCAAATTACATTGGGAGCAATATTTCTCTAACCACATACCACATGATGGCGCTAAAACTATGTCTTCCAAATAACACTGCACATATACCTAGAGATGTAGCAGAACAGTTAAAAAAAAAGCTATCAAAGGTTTTATACATATCAGGGGCGGACTGACCATTTGGAAACTCGGGTAATGCCCGAAGGCCCGGGGTCAGTAGGGGGCCCCATGAGATGCCCCTGGTACCTTTTTCATAGGTTTTTTTGGGCAAGGACACAGGGGCCCCATGATCCCCTATTGCCCAGGGGCCCCATGAGTTGTCAGTCCACCCCTGATACATATGAAACCATATTAGACTAGTTCAAAAGTGCAAGCCAAAACTTCTATAGATTAACATAGTAGTCACTGAGCCTGAACCCAGGGGCGGACTGACCATTTGGAAACTCGGGTACTGCCCGAGGGCCCGGGGTCAGTAGGGGGCCCCATGAGATGCCCCTGATACCTTTTTCATAGGCTTTTTTGAGTTTGGGCAAGGACACAGGGGCCCCATGATCCCCTATTGCCCGGGGGCCCCATGAGTTGTCAGTCCGCCCCTGCCTGAACCCTTTGTCTTTTTAATTTTTCACGGTGTCATATTAATACCACTTTTACTGGTTGTAATTGACTATGAGTCAGATATATTTCATGAAAAATGAGCTGCTCACAGCTATGACATTTAAGCCGTTCTATTACAAACTATTATGCGAAAATTGATTCCTTTTTCCATAGGAGCCTAGATGTGTTTATTAAAGCGGTAGTAACCGCAGGAAAAAAAATCCCCTGCAAGGTAATGTCATAATCTGCTAGTATGCATTGCATACTAGCACATTATGTAGGACTTACCTTAAAATGAAGCCCTCCAGCAGCATGCTGTCACCTCTGCAGAGGCTTTCATCTTCACCCGGTCTTCCTTCCGGGTTCACAAGCTACAGTTGTTTGACTGTCCAGGCCGCGCGATGACGTCACTCCCGTGCGCATACAGTACAGTACTCTGAAGGAATGGCACGGGAATGCTGTTCCTTCAGAGCGCATGCACTGGCTCTAAAAAAGACGTGCACCATTTTGGAAATATCAATTTTAACTACAGGTAAGCTTTATTATAAGTTTACCTATAGGTAAAAGTTAACAAAATGAGTTTACTACTACTTTAAAACTTCATTAAAGTAGCATTCCAATTAAATACTAAATTTACCTAAACCTGCTCCTGCCCCCATTCTATTCCTATTCTAACTACCCTGTAAAGGAAAGATGTGCATACTTAGCTATTTTGAGGGCCAGTGGCGTCCCTAGGGGGGTGCGGGGGGTGCAGGCCACTCAGTTTGCAGGGCCCAGTGGCGTCCTGGGGGGTGATCCCAGATTCCCGGGGGGGCCCTGGTGCAGGCCACTCAGTGTGTGCATGAGCAGGATGCCAGCAGAGCTTATGGGCTCTGTGAAGGTCCTGGCCAGTTATTGGGGTGATCCCAGATTCCCGGCACAGGGACAGCAGCCCTGGTGTACCAGTAAAATAAGTATCCCGGACCCGTGAAGATATGTATCCCCTGAAGCAACTGTGCATGTGCCGGTTTCAGGCTGAAGAAGCCGATTGCCAATCACCGACTTTAGCACAGAGCTGCCACAGTTAACCCATTACAGGCTGCAAACTGCTGAAGCTAATCACGCAGATCACTATGGGTTGCAAGATCAGCTAAACCTGAACCTATATGGCGTTAACTGATCTTGCAACCCATTAGATTGTAAACTCCAAGGATCAGGGCCCTCCTAACCCTCTTGTATTGAACTGTATTGTTGCTGTATTGTCTCCCGTTATATTGTAAAGTGCTGAGCAAACTGTTGGCGCTATATAATCCTGTATAATAATAGCGATCCACGGGATCAGCTTCAGCGGTTTGCAGCCTGTAAGGGGTTAACGGTCTTCCTTCCGGGTTCACAAGCTACAGTTGTTTGACTGTCCAGGCCGCGATGACGTCACTCCCGTGCGCATACAGTACAGTACTCTGAAGGAATGGCACGGGAATGCTGTTCCTTCAGAGCGCATGCACTGGCTCTAAAAAAGACGTGCACCATTTTGGAAATATCAATTTTAACTACAGGTAAGCTTTATTATAAGTTTACCTATAGGTAAAAGTTAACAAAATGAGTTTACTACTACTTTAAAACTTCATTAAAGTAGCATTCCAATTAAATACTAAATTTACCTAAACCTGCTCCTGCCCCCATTCTATTCCTATTCTAACTACCCTGTAAAGGAAAGATGTGCATACTTAGCTATTTTGAGGGCCAGTGGCGTCCCTAGGGGGGTGCGGGGGGTGCAGGCCACTCAGTGTGTGCATGAGCAGGATGCCAGCAGAGCTTATGGGCTCTGTGAAGGTCCTGGCCAGTTATTGGGGTGATCCCAGATTCCCGGCACAGGGACAGCAGCCCTGGTGTACCAGTAAAATAAGTATCCCGGACCCGTGAAGATATGTATCCCCTGAAGCAACTGTGCATGTGCCGGTTTCAGGCTGAAGAAGCCGATTGCCAATCACCGACTTTAGCACAGAGCTGCCACAGTTAACCCATTACAGGCTGCAAACTGCTGAAGCTAATCACGCAGATCACTATGGGTTGCAAGATCAGCTAAACCTGAACCTATATGGCGTTAACTGATCTTGCAACCCATTAGATTGTAAACTCCAAGGATCAGGGCCCTCCTAACCCTCTTGTATTGAACTGTATTGTTGCTGTATTGTCTCCCGTTATATTGTAAAGTGCTGAGCAAACTGTTGGCGCTATATAATCCTGTATAATAATAGCGATCCACGGGATCAGCTTCAGCGGTTTGCAGCCTGTAAGGGGTTAACTGTGGAAGCTCTGTGCTAAAGTCGGAGATCGGCTTCTTCGGCCTGAAACCGGCACATGAGCAGTTGCTTCAGGGGATATATATCTTCACGGGTCGGTATACTCATTTTACCGCTACACCGGCACCGCTCCTTCCTCTCTGGAGGGGTGACACCACGTGTTACCGCACCGGGTGACACCAACCCTAGCAACGCCTCTGATGAGAGTGCTCTGGTCCAGTCACATGATTAGCTCCCAACACCAGCTTAAACATAGAGGAGGGACAGCTGACAACAGATGCCACATAGTAAGCCTGTGGGTATCTTCATCACCTAGTCTCTCCAACTGTTGTTGGTGATCTCTCCTCTTCACTGGAGAGATCATGTGACCGGACCAGAGCGATTTCAGCATAGGTATGTATAGACATCTTTCCTTTACAGGGTGGTTAGAATAGGCTTAAAATGGGGAAGAAAAAGGTTTAAGTATAGTTAGGATTTGACTGCATTTCTACTTTAACCACTTCAATACGGGGCACTTTCAGCTTTCAGCACTGTCATACTTTAAATGATAATTGTGCTGTCATGCAACACTATAGCCAAACTACATTTCTATAATTTTGTTCACACAAATAGAGCTTTCTCTTGGTGGTAATTAATCATCACTGTGTTTTTTTATTTTTTACTAAATAAATGAAAATAAAACAGGAAATAATAAAAAAAAAGCTTTGTTTCTGTTATAAAATTTTGGCAATAAATAATCTTTCTTCATAAATTTAGGCCAAAACGTATTCTGCTACATGTCTTTGATAAATATAAACCAAATCAGTGTATATTATTTATTCTGCATGAAAGTTATAGAGTCCACAAACTATGGATTATATATATCTGAAAACCGATCAATTCTCATGTACTGATGGCCAATCTCATGAGGCCCGCAAATGCCAGGACAGTACAAATACAGTTGCAAGAAAAAGTATGTGAACCCCTTGGGATTACGTGAAGTTTTGCATGACCTTAAGAGAGCGATTCACACCAGACATCCCAAGAATATTGCTACACTGAAACAGTTTTGTGAAGAGGAGTGGTCCAAAATGACTCCAGATCGTTGTGCAGGTCTGATCTGCAACTACAGGAAACGTTTGGTTGAGGTTATTGCTGCCAAAGGAGGGTCAACCAGTTATTAAGTCCAAAGGTTCACATACTTTTTCCTCCCTGCACTGTGAATGTTTACATGTTATGTGCAATTAAACCATGGCAACATCTAATGTTTGTGTAGTATTATGTTCAGCAGACTGTGTTCTTCTATTGTTGTGACTTAGATGACGTTCAGAGCACATTTTATGCCCAATTCATGCAAAACTCCACGTAATCTCAAGGGGTTCACATACTTTTTCTTGCAACTGTGCACCCCAATGACCCCTTTTTGGAAAGTAGAAAGTTCAAGGTATTTAGTAATTTCTTGTCACAATTTTTTGAATTAGGAAATAGCTGTGGGGGATGGAGTGATAGGAGGAGTGGAGGAAGTCGGCAATTAGCAGTGCATGTGCAGGTCACATGCACTGGTCAGTTAAATTTGAGTGACCACTAAATAGACTCTGTTACTATACAATGGAGCATGTTTGACAATGCAATTCCTACAAGTTCAACCACTGTGTGTGCTGTGCCTTTTCTCTGGGGTACCTACCACCCAGGCCCTGTAACCTGCACTCGGAAACTGATCTGAAAAGCAAGCAGAATCCACCTGAAAGCAGGCTGCATTTGCCCGTCTACATAAGTCCTCACTTTTTTATCTGTAATTCTATAGAGATAGAATGGCCTTATAGGACATGTTCAGATAACTGAGGAGCTGTGTGTGCAAGATACAAATCACAGCTTACCCAGATAAGTTGTGCAGGACCAGTTTGTAAAAACTGCCCAGGAGCACCATAATTGCTTGTACACTTGTTTTTCTACCATGCCCTATTTCTATCAGTTTCTTGGCAAAACGGTCAAGGGATGAATAGACAACGGAATAGGCCAGAACAGAATGCTATTGTTCCCTATGCAAAATGGTCTGCCCTATGTGTGAAAAGCGCACAAAAAAAGTGCGAGCACCCTTTTTTAAAGTTGCACCACGCCAAAACCATCTTGTTACCATGCATTTTGGCATGTGATTTCTCACACATGTTTATAATAAACGTTGGAGTGTCTTTAACCAACTTTGGTTGCATTACCGCATTGCACAAATGTGAAAGGAGCATCAGAATACCATATACAGACAGAAAAGCGTGAGACAAAAATGGAGCATGTAACGCTCAGAATGTCTGTTGATTACAGGCTCATTATTTGTTGGCTGTTGTTTTGTTTCCTTTTTACAGGCAGAACAAATCCTTCTTTATGCTGTCTATTCTGCTGTCTGGACTTCTGATGCCTGTTTTGGACAAAATTGTGAAAATGGAGGCATAAATCATGTGCACCATCCCCAATAAGCTAATCTGCCCAGTGTAAAAATAGAATACTGTGTTTGTACCTGCATTTTTCTAGATTGTGTTTAAGGAATAAGCTCAAATCAAATGCACTGTACTTCAGAAAAAAAGAACATAATGGGACTTTACTGGTACCATGTAGGACAAACTCACATTTGTAAATTTACATATTTACCTACTATAGAGGTTGTTCAGGACACGGCACCGATACGGACACATGTAACTAAAAATTCACAATATGATAATTTTTTTTAAATCAGGGGCGGTCCCTAAGGTCACCTCCT